GAGAATAAATTGTCACTGTCAAATTGGAATTTTATTTTCCTTGCTATCTTATATTTGCCAATAAGAGACGTAGAAAATTGCAGCTATGGAAATCTGAGTGTTTCATTGTTATGGTCTGAAAAATTCTGCAATGTTGCTCGAGATTTACAATAAGAGTCAGTATATATACAGCACTGTCTGATTTTCTAAGGAAAATCAGTGTCACTGTCAAATATTGAAACCAGAAACATCAACAAAGTCTTCTATAATTCAAAAACACTTCGAAACCATTGAAGTTTCTTTCACCAGCTTTCAATTCTTCAAAATCATCCTCTCAGATCAACCACTTTTCCTCGATTAAATTTTAGACATTTCCTAAAAACTATGCTAATTTTAGAACTAAATTAGCAGCAGCCCTTTCTCAATTTTCTTCTCATTAGAAATATAACTGACTATATCTCGACTACATCTCGGAAAACGTTGAATATTTCCAGGCAAAAGCTTTCGAGTGCAAAGGGTTAACCCCTTCACCTTTCTTTCTCAACTATGATCTACTTTGTTATTAAAAATTTATTGAAAAAAGACAAAAATCCTAGGCATATTCTACACCTATGTTTTCTCTAATCTATAATAATTCGTAACGGAAGGGTACCATTCAATTCGTATTCACAAAAATTAAGTAATACGTACGTTTGTTAAACTCTGTTTAAAATCTTCACGAGTCTGACACGTTGTCATAAGGCAAGGGGTTAAGTGCCGAACGCGTTCTCATTGAAAGTGATACGTTGCGTAATCACGACAATTACCGTCGAGAGATGAATGCACTTCCTTCCGCGCGAAGGACCATCGACTCCTTCGCTGTCGGCGGAGCCTTCATTACCGCGGCCCCTTTATTCGTGGCCCGATAAAAAAGGCGAGGTGAACAAACAAAGAATGAAAGTCGGAGGAAAGGGATTGACCGCGATGTCCAGATGGTCCATCGTGACCTGCTGGAAACGAAAGGGGCCGGAGGAAGTTACCCTCGATGGTCGCTCCGATCTCTGGACCTGTCGGAAGTCAAATTAGATCCCCGGAGAAACAAAAAACGAGCGGGAAAAAAACGGAAAGGGCAGTTGACGTTTAACCGTTTCCTCCGTTGCGTACCTGGGTGGAAGAGGGTACGTCGGGGAAGTTGGGAAACGGTCCAGAGATCAAACGAATCTTAACCCCTTGACCTATGATATCATGTTGATGTTGTGTGGAGAATCTGAAATACGACGTTGACATGTTCACTGGCACGGAAATTTGGGATGTTTTACAATTACACTTATTGACCCTTGACACTTTCACGGTGACCTTTACGTGATGCTATTGGAAAGTCATTTGCAAAGCCTCTCAGAGCGTTAGTTGCTTAAACTTTTGCACTCAAGAGACTCTCAGTCACCATTTGATTTCACGTAGTAAAACTATAAAATTTGATATTCAACAATTTTTTGTCGTAACAATTTTTTGTCGTACCCAACGAAAGTTGGGTCATTTAAAAATATGTTTATATTATGAATATAACGTGTTTATTTTCTACAATATAATAATTATTCCTTGCCTCACAATTTTCACAAATATCATTATCCCCTGCAAGCAGTAACGTAAGATTCCATCGTGTAATTACTTGGTGCTTGTATGGACACCTTCATCCCCCATAAACGCATAAAATTCCCGTGAATAATAATCGCTTCCAGCTTTACAACTGTCGCGAGTAACATATCCCCTGCAATTCCATGGAATTCCATGGTGCAACAATCGCTTTGTCTTCTCTCTACCTGTAACGAGTGAAGCGTTCAATGGAGACAAAGGTCACACAGAACCGTCGATGCTCTTGACATCGAGGAACAAAGATTTCGAAGGCGAATTTCCTGAAATTCAGGCATGATATTGCCACAGGGACCATTCCCACTCCATAGGGCTAATTATAAGCAATTAGGGACTACCCCCAACGGAGATCACCTTGTCATAGCAACGGAGTTACTGCTAATTAGCAGGAAAGAGGAAAAAGGATCGAAGGAGCTCCATCGTTTCGATAATCATGCGCCCGATTGTGTGCGCGACTGGGTCCAACGAAAATCCACGGGTACAGGTAAATCATTTCGAAGCATTGTCACCCCAATCAGTACGTAATCATTGAGCGATCCTCTGTAAGTTCCAAATGTCTACAGAGAGTTTCACTTTCGATGATTTACAGATTTTCTCGACGATTCCCGTTCGAAAGTTCTTTATTAAACATACTTAACATTTCTTAACAATGACATACTTAATTTAATTTTGTATGAAATGGTTTCTCAATGTTCATCCTTCCTTCTCTTTCTGTATTTATCAACACTCAATCACATTCTCTCATTCTTCATACAACCAATCTCGTACTCATTCAAAGATTCACTACAATTGATTTTCTCAACGTCTCTTTATAATGACAAGTTAGAAGAAGCTAGATGGTAATTTGTAAAACATACATATGTAATACTCACTTACAAGTCCGTTTCGCTTGACCACCCCCTTCTAACCTTTCGCGACAATGCACCCCGTTGGGTACCTGGCCGCGCAGGGTGTATGAAAAGAAAGTATAACCTTCGAGGAGTGTTGGCCAAACAGCCGCCCAATCTTCGGAGACCCAATAAAATAATGCGAGTCAACGGTTGACTCCGTTTTGTCCTCCGGGGTCCTCGGCCATTGTCCTCGAAGACACATTAAGCGTCATCCGGGTAAACGAGCAGAAACGGCCCCGCCAGGGTTGCGTCCGTATGTTAATCTCGCGCCGGCTACCTGAGACGTCCGCGGCGGATTTCATTCGATTAAATCCTTTGTCGCCTGCGGCACGAACATTTTAGATATTATATATTGCACCCCGCTCAGACCTGGACCCGGCCATTCCCGATGGTCGAAGTGTTTCTTGGAGATAAGAAAGAGCGAGCTCGGATAACGACTAAACGGATCCGAGCACGTTCTGCTTGAAAATACAATTGACTAAGGTTTAAGGAAGTATAATTAAGAAAGTTCTTAATGAACCTTCGGTGGATTGTACATTGTAGAGTTTGGTCCTCGTTTGGGTACAATTATATTTTAACGAGGCCTTTGTGATGAGTCATTTTGTCTTTGACTGTGACGTGGAACGAGTAATTTGATGGTTTGATGATGTTTGATAGTAGTGATGTGGGTTGATATTGAAATCTTGTAGAATATAATTTATGCGAATTATGGAGATATAGATTTTCATTTATTTATTAGTAGGAAGAAATGTGAGGAATTTTGAGCGATTTTATTGGTACGATGAAATGATTAAGTTTGATATTTAATGTTCAATTGATAGGTTTGATAGAATGTCGTCTGTATTTTATTAGGGAATGTTAAATGTTAAAGGGTGAATATTTGAAATTCCGTTTTCGCGGAATTCTATCGCGAACGAACAATGCTGAGCATCGTTCGCAATTCATTCCTTGTTGTTCTGGTTGCTAGCTGACGCAAGTTCTAGCATACATTATCTAACGAAACTTTAATGCTCGGTCATCCATCCAATGACGGTGACCTTGTGCCTTATCGGCGGGGAACTATCGACGACAATTTTCACGATCCGCGTTGTGCATTATTCCAGACTCCTTCTGAACGACTTTGATAACAAACTTCGCTGGCACTAGCAAACAAAAACGGAAAAGTTTCAAGGATACTACGGTTTCTTATAAGTTTCTCATTTTCGTAGCGAAAAATATACCACCCTTATTTTCGATCTTCCAACCCTCGTAAGAAATTCAATTCTTGAAACGACGTCAATCCAGGGTTACAAAGAATAAAATCAGACACGAGAATATACAATTATCGTCATTAAGTCACATAGAAAATGCATCAGAAAAATATATATCGCAGTGTAAAACATGCAAGACAAATTTCCATCCCCTAATCAAACCCTCGTTACAATACTAATTTCATTGCAACCGTACAAAACACATGAACCTCACATTGCATTCCTCAGTAGACTAGAAAAAGACAAAGTACATTTCCCAACAATCTACACCAAGCTGTAATCATTCCAATCATCCTCCAGAAAAGCGCAGAACCCGAAAAGAAAACCTCGGGGGAAGTTTGAAACCCTGTCCCACCCCTTTACGTAACTCCCGCTGCAGCTGGCCGTCTGAAAAAGCGCCCAACACCCATCCTCCCCAGAAGAACCCAAAACCCAGAAAGAGAAGCTCAGGAGACGTTAGAAACCCTGTCCCACCCCTTTACGTAACTGCCGTTGCAGCCCGGAGGAACGGTGCAGCGTTCGCCGGCGCGGATGCGCTCGGCCGATCGAAAGAGGGAAGCGTATCGGATCCGGAGAAGCGTATTAAGCCCGTTCGGCGAGTGGCGGACCCGTGAGCCGCAGACGCGCGCACACCCACGCACACCGAGAGCCGACACAGACGGCGGACAGGTGGGGGTCGATTCGAGCGAGTGAGAAGAAAAAGCGTCCGAGAGAGCCGTGGACGACGCAACGTCGGTGGTGGGAGGACAGGAGCCGAAGAAGAGAGGACAGAGAAGAAAACAGGTGGACAGAGAAAGAGAAGAACCAGCCCACCCACCCATCCGACGAGGACAGAGCCGCGGGAGCTAGTGGGGACAGCCGTTCCGAAGACAAAGAGTCCCACCTATCCAAAGGGTGCAAGAAAGACGAACACCCGCCGGCGAACGTAGGAGAGGGTTCCGCGTTCGCGAAGCTCGCCGTGGGGGTGCGGGAGTAGGAAGCCGATAGTGGGGGACGGCTCGAAGAGCTAGCAGATCCAACGCAGACGAACTATCCCCCACGAGCCAGCCAACGGGACAGAGGGAGAGAGGAACAGCCGGAGACCTAGGGGTCCGCGAGAGCTGCTGGCTTAGTGGGGAGCTGCCCGATTGGTGGGGGCAGCCACGGACAGAGGAACCGGCGACGTGGTGGGACGGCTGTGGCCGCGGTGGGGGGATGGACGGCCGGTGAAAGAGAGCAGGTGGGGGGGATGATGAGGCTCCCGAGCTGCGCCCGGAGAGAAATTGTCAGAAGCGCCGTGTCACTTCTCCGCGGTGAGGTAGGATAGTCGTGACCCGTTCTCATGGACCTTGCGCTCTCCCCCCTCCGTGGGTGCGTCGATCTCGTGCGTGGCCGCGCTCTCCTGCCTGCCCCCTCCGTCCCGCCCTCGAACCGGTGACCCAAGTATATATCCCCGCCCCTCCCTCTCCCCCTCCGTCGGTGCTCTCCAGGTAGGACCGTCTGCTTGAGGTCCCCCGGCAGTGCGGCCTGCTTCCGTCAGCGACACGAGTCCTTTACTCGACAGTCGTCCTTCGTACGCGACGCATCGCCAGCGAGAGCACCAAGAGCGGTGCCCAAGTGTGACACTCTTCATCGGTCGGGGTTCTCTCTGATATCATATTCGCATCCTCCGCGGTGTGATGTGAGGACACGCGACAGCGACGAGTTCTCGTCATCGCTGAACGGACAGCTCGATCGTTTGTTAGGAGGTAGCGGCTCTCGGGAGCCAAGAGATATATTTCAACCCTTCGAGGATCATCTTGGTTAGACACACCGAGGGTCCTTGATGAGGCTGCCACTGCTGTAACCCGGGTCCAGCGAGATCCCAAGACTATTGTTGACAGTGGTATACCCGTCTTTCGTGTTCAGTGCTGCGTGGCGCGTTTGTTTGGGTGTGAAGTGCCGGGACCGACCTTGAGGCTTCATGACTTGCCTACGGCGTTGACGACATCCGACCATGGATTACTCGAAAGGTATGTGCTCTAGTTTTTGTCTCGCGGACGAGCAGGCGACGGGATGAGGATGCTCCGGCGGGCTGAGGCTTCCGGGATCTCGACGCGTGAAATGGTGGATCTCGGCCGGCCGCGTCTCTCTCGGTCGTGCGGGCTTCTCGAGTTTATGGGACCTTTGCTTTGTTCCTCGGATGTTGATTGTTTCTGAGAAGTTTGAAATTTGTACCGTTCCTTCGTTGATTTTGGAGATTTTGGGGAACGTTCGATATTTTTGATGCTATCGGGGGATCATAGGGAGAATAGATGAATCTTAAAGCTCGTTTATTACGATCAAACTAGATTCTATTAAAATAATTGAATACAAAGGAATAACTTGTACATTCGTATTTCTAACTTCAACCGTCTTGCTGTTTCATTCCTTTTCATACACGCATCAAACCCGCGGGTCATTATGTTTGTAATTGGTCTAACGATTGTTCCTGCGGACGGCGTCGTCGAGATGATCTAACCGAGGATCGGGATCCCGTGAACGGTGATTAAGCGCGGAGCAGTCGGCTTTATTAGAAATAAAAACTCTCTTTGTCCGCGCTCGGAAAACTGTGTCTCGTTATCGCGGCGAGGATGTCGACGATTGTCTCCTCATCGTTGAATATTCTTAATGGATCGCCGGTGGAGATGATCTATCAACGTCTCGCAGGTGCGCCGTCGAATATTGCGGCAGAGATTCCCGTTGGCGAAGGTGGGGGTCGGCTTTATCGCAGATAAGTTCTATCGGAAGATTGCCTTCGACGCCGCGGCCGGGCCGAGATGACGATCTGCCGGCGAGATCTGACGAACGAGAACGCCGCGCGATCCATTTTATGCGAAACAATGTTTCGCGCTCCTTTCCCGGTGCGCGAGGGAACGTGACTTTATCTGGAAGAGCTCTCGAAGGTCTCCTTTATTATTTCATTCGTGAGACCGCACGATCATGAATGTCATTAGGACGAGCCGTCTTCGACGCTGGAATTACCGTTTTCGATTTCTTCTTTCGAAACTTTGTATCGAAACACGACTAGAGAAAATGAACGTACAACTTGATCCAGCAATATGATTAATATAAATCGATAAATGTTAATAATTTTGAGGAAATAATTAATATAGAAGAATTATAGAATGTATGTAATATTCGTGAACGATTAGTTTAAAAGAACCGTGAATTTTCGAGATTTTGTGATGCTATTCAATTTGGTATCTAGATCGCTAATGCTAATTCATCTCGCGAATTGAGCTCGTTTATCTCGAAGGGATTCGAAAGATTGGATATTCTAAATTAAAATTCGATCGACATCTGTACTCAAGATCAGCCTCGATCGAGATGGTTTCGCCGAGCGTCTTTTGTTTTATTTTCGCGCTCAAGGAGACTGTTGTGATCAGTCGAGTACAGGGAGAAAGAGAAAAAAAGCAGCTAGCCAACGGATCGTATACCCGGTGTCCGTTTTTTCTTCTCGAGCGAGCTGTCCCCTCGCGCGAGATCGGGGAGTTAACGTTTTCGCCCTCGTCACGAGCCTGGGAACCGTTTCCTGCGGGCGATGGCGACAGGAAACGACCGAATTTCGCCGGTCGACGAGCCGAACGCGCGCCGCGACGAATCGTTATCGGGACAGCTTAGCCCCCTTATCTCGTGTCTTTCGATTAACGCATGAAACGTCGATGAGTATCGGGCCGGTCCCCATTAATTCCGTAACGGGGATCTTCGGCATTCTGTGTCAATGTTAACGACGAGAAACGGGAAAACTGAAACGAGACTTAGTTCACTGAATAGTGGCTATTATAAATTTAGACTTGGTTAATTGTTATATTTAATTATCAGAGTACTTCGCGGATTGATAGAATTTATAATAGTTACTAATTAATAGAAGCATATTACCCGAAGCATTTACATATCTAAACGACTCCATATTTAGCAAGGATTTAACTTTCAAGAATACAATGATCGATTCTTTCAATTACTTTGAATTATTCTTCAAACTTTCTCGTCGCGACGTTTGCATTGCAAATGAAAGATTTGTGTGTGAATGTTATACGATTCAAACGAATGTGATAGTATTGTTAGGTATCGAGATAAGGGTTGAAAATTGAAATAGGAGGGAATCGATTTTCATAGGGTGGTTCCTGGTGAATCCCCGGGTACACCTAATCCGTGATCGGTTTCACGTGGAAATAAGTGCTCCGTGAGAGATAAGGAAGGTCCTTATCAGCGGTGGACTTGGAGCTACCATTCGGCATTCTCTTTCTTCGGACATCGATAAGAGATTGGACGAGATGGGACACGTAAGCGATCGCGACGTGATCTCTAGCTTTACAGGTCGCGTCGACTAGATCCACGTTGGATTTTCGTGAATATTGGAATGATATATAGTAGAATTTTCATAAACAAACGTTATTAAACGATTACGTCGATTCTGTGGTCCAATCACTCGGGCACCCTAATCGTCTGTCTTTAATTTCAAGATCAAATGTTCATATTTAGAGCACCTAGTAGCAAACAAATAATTGAATTTTTCAAAGCAAGAGATCAGTACGTAGTTTCCTTTTATTCAACACTAAAACTACCGAGCGACTTTTTGAAATTCCTCCGAAACTTGAAGACTCAGATTTCAAAATGAAATCAAGATCATTTCGGCCTATCTGGTAGATTTACTGTCTAATCGACATAATTTAGCTTCGTCTGCTGAAGCTTTTGCATTCCAAAGAATCTTCGCAAACGATTGAACTTCCAATCGAGATCTAAATATCGAATATTAAACATTCGATGCGTAATGAAGAATATACAAAAGTATAGAAACATAAAAATTGTATGTAATGATAAAAGAAGATCTAAACGTAGAATAAACATCCGCATACTTCCAGCGTTCACGTCGGCTCTTAATATCGGAATCACGGCGTATATCGGGTTAAAAGTGAAAAAAGAATCGATACGAGCTTCCTGGAAACTGACACTCGGTAGGACGAGCTCTCCCGGTTGCGTCACCCGCCGCGATTCGCGTAATCTCGTTATCTCGTAAGCTTTCGTTTCCCGGCGCGCGGCTACTCCCATCTCGAACGATTTCGGTCGCCATTGCTCTTCACCTCGGACGATCGATCGACGATATCGTTCGCCGGCTGTGATCGTCGCGGACCGAGAGATAATTCCGTGGACACCTTGAAGATAATTCTTCTTTCTTTTTCATTCAATTCGTTTCCAACCCCTCGCCCTTAGTGTTCAGTGAACATTTATTATTCCATGGATTAGAACTATTTTTATCTCCATTATTTCTTCTAACGAAATGATCTCTTTTGCTCGTGCTAATTAGAAGCCTGTACAGATCATATAATTGAGTCCATCTTGGATTGAAACGATGACAATGGAACTCATCTCTAAACGAGACTTCCAAAAATTCAAAGTATCTTTTAACGCGAATTTTCTTCCTAAATCCACAAGATCCTAAAATTCTTTAAAATATTAACAAAATCCTTGGACTCTTTTTAAGAGTTAAGATCTATATTAATAGATAGTATCGAAATTGAAAGTTTTATTTTATTAATATTCCATGTTCTACTAGTACATTTATACTTAATTCTGCTAAATTTTTATTCCACGCATTCACGAATCTACTCTACCGATCTACACGAGAATTCAATTAAAAAGAATGGTAGCTTGATGTTGATGATCGGAGGGGGACCAAAGATTCATGCCTAAAATAGACAACCGGGAGAATTACATTTTCACGGGGTAAAACGTCGGGATACCGGGCTACGGACCCGTAAAAGCTGAATTAGGGCGTGGCATGTAAAGTCAACCACTCCCTTTTCTCACCCTACGTCCAACCGTCTCCCCCTCGGAACATTCCAATTAACGCAGGGCTCGTTAACGGCCAGACGGAAACGTTTCGGCTGTCCCTTCCGGCATCGAAGTCACCTGGACTCGCGGAACTCCTCGCAGAAACCTGGAAACCCTTTCGAATTTCAAACTTGAAAGCACTTAACCTTAACTCTAAAACTGACTTTTAATTTTCTCCGTGGAAACTCTATAACCTATTCAGATTTCCAGCGAGTTGTAATTCGGTTTACACGTTACATAAACGAATTTCCCCGGTAATCTTTTTAATAGTGCAAAAGAATTTAGAAATAGGTCACTTCGATCTATAGTGTTAAACGCAAATTTTGCATAAATTAAGGAACTATTATATTATGTTGTCACGTAGGGTAGATCCAGCAGAAAACTGGAAAGTGAGAAACATCTTATTCGTTCTGTGATTTTAGACGGATATTTTCAGTTTCCTGTTTGTTGCGAAGGTTTTTAGGTTTATTAATCATTCTTTCACTGATATTGAAGGTGAATCTCGATTAACCAGTTAACTGTGTTCGACGAGTACACAGGTCATCTTAAAACTCTTAATAGTGCTGACCTTTTCAACGATGGATTATTTTTTGAGACAAACGTGCAATTCGTTTCGCTTTAGTTTTTCGTTAGGATATAATTTAAGTGCATTTGGCATGCATTTAACGAGTATACACTTCATTATTTGATTTCATTGCGCGCAAAAGGAGAGATTTTCCACACTTAACTGGTTAATAAGGAATCTACGAAGAAAAATATTCATTCTAACGTTTAACTACTAATTTTTCGAGTTAAATCCGAACTGATCCGATTCCCGGTGTGCCCTAGGGGGTTGGTACTGAATTTCGAAGTTCGTAATTGTTCCGTGTCGGATCGAATGGCGGTTAGTGTTATGAATTCGTCTCGTCCTTCATTCGCGTGAATTTTATTCGGCACGTTTATGGTCGAGCGTACGAACGCGTGGATCGATATCAAAAGACACATCGGTCGGATTCAAGTTCATGGTCGTTCAGTCGGAGGATCCGAAAAGTGGGAGACTTCGGGACGAGTCCGCGGGGTCGTTGTCCTGCGAGGAACAACAAGAGGTGAACCCGATGAACCCGTGATCGGGTGAAAAAATTATTTTGAATATCCACACAGCAGAAGAGTCCGTTGACTT